ATATACACATACATACATACACACACACACCTCTCCAATCTAAATTCGTACTACGTAAATAAGTAAACATATATCAATCAGCTACATTTCTGTTGGGGCAGGAAGATCTAAATCAAGTAGAAAATTCTGAACGAGCGCTCTTCTGTTTAGACAGAATATTATTTTTAACGCATACTTTAATTTAACGCTATAATATCATTATACATTTCGACGCAGACATATTAAAATCGTCCTTTGTGTATAACATTTACCTTGTCCTATGAACAAAACATAAACGCTCTGATTAAATATTTATAATGTTGAATTCAAAATGTATAATGGAAATGAGACTTTTACTATGCTTTTAATTGCACTTTGCTCAGACTGCTATAGCTTAGTGCCATCATTTGTCACTGCAGCTTCGCAAACCGGGAAGTCCTAGGGTTCTAATCCCGACGGTGGCGGATGTTCGTTTCTAATTACAGATCTAGGTCGAATTAATCTACATTTTGGACTAGAATTTCAGCTGTCGGCTTTTCTGATGGGTTTTTCCTGGTTTCTCCTCTGAATTCCTTAACACACGCACCACCGACGGCGTACGATCCTTACTGGTTCAATCGTGCCCCCTTACTCTAATATACACTCATACTTACATACACAACTCTATCACACTTAACAGGAGACCAGCTTCGATCTTGTCCCGGGTGGGGGCATTACTGCGGTGGGGGAGATTCGTGTATTCGTGAATCCCTTCAAGTCGCATTGTAACTGGACGTCTATCTATAGTTTCAGCAGGGGGGAACATTGCTTCCTCCCGAAATATAGCATAAACTACACTTACATTATTATTAATGTCCCCGAAAACCCTAAACAATCGATCGAATACAGCGAAAGCTATCGATTACGTAAATATGAAAAAAACTGATATATTTTTTAGAATGTGTCATTTACGCTGTTTCACCAAACTACTCCGAAAATAAAATTACAGATTCAAGTGTTATTTAGTGTCTTATGGACATTGCCATCAAAGTGCTGCTTTCGAACAAACTCTCTCTCAGTTGAAGAGCCGCTACGCTCCCGCTTTAGTTGTTATGCGGATTCTGCTTTTCGCTTTTGTGAGCTACAGATGCCAAGAAGTGGTGCTATGATGAACGGCAAAGACTTTCTCGTACAATTTCGCTTTCTAATTTGTTTTGTCTCGGTTAGGTGTTGTGTTTTTCTCCACCTTCTTCCCACCTGCTACGTTTCGGTGCTTAATTTTTCTTTTGCGTTCTCTCATTTTTTCACTGCCGCAAGAGTTGAATTTAAATACAACTTTCGAAACGTCATAGAAGAGTGAATTTTTTTTATTGAAACAGATCATTGACACATTTGAAGCCGTTTCTGAAAAAAATGTCTTTTGGGCGTTTCTCAAAATGCGCATTTTCACTATAATAGTTTTTCGTGTTCATCTACAAAATTGTATGCGTTTACAACATACTCTTGTATCATTTTATGCATTTGCACTCAGAAATGCAGTAATGTATAAAAACGCTCGTAATATACGTTCATTAACAACGTGAGAAATGAATAAGAAAATGATATTAGTGTAATTTTTGAAAATAGAAAAAACAAAACCATACATGAAAATTGCGTTGAAGTCACGTTTATCAGTAAATTTCGCACTATTCCTACTGAATGATTAATTCAAACATTTGAAGCCTCTTTTAAATATTTTTTTCATAAATATTGCTCGTATTTCTACCAAAATTTCGCGGAAACTAGTAATATTTTCAAACTTTTTACATGATATTTATTAAAATGTTCTTTGTGAACTAGTTTCATCTAAAAAAAACTCCATTTTCAATGTTCTAGTTATATGTACATGCCGAAAGTACTATCTTTGGTAATTTTCCAAATTTCAGAGATAATCGTGAAATTTTATCTATGTCATCAGTGTATTTTAGTCTATTCTTACAAGAATCGTAAAGAATAGATTTAGAGCAGTTTTTGAGAATATTTGAAAATGTCCCGAAGATTTTAAAGAAAGTATCCCGGATATTTAAAGAATTCTTTTAAAAATTGCAGGGTCTCGGGTCGGGCGAGATCGATCAAGGAATGTTAATGTTGGCAAAATCCTACGGACCTTACTAATGGTTTAGACACTAGTGTTGTTCATAGACCGACGGAGAGACTGGCGGACGGACGGACAGACAGACATTTGAAAAAAAACTGTCGGTATCAGAAGGCCACCAAACTTGCTTTTCCATTGAAACATCAAAATAAAATTAGCACAGCATTACATAAATTTCTAAATACAAGTAATATATCTTGTACTACTATATTACTCCGTATATTAGTACGTATACGAGAAAGTAAAAAATAAATAAATTCACTGTTCATAGACAACAGCAGGTTTCGGGCAAGATTTCTACTTTACAAAGGACCTCTTCAAGCTTCGTGCGACGATAATTACAAGTTCGTACTCACAATTGTGAAATTTCATCTGAAAATAGATCCTTTCGCGTTTTTACTAGAGTACCTCATGTCAACATCTCCAAAAATGCGTTTCAAAGTTGCCTATCTCTTACAACGTCGGAGCCAAAAACCTGTCCCTCAGAATGCAGTTGCAGTGTTTATGCGTATATACTGCAATATACATGTATACTCGCATTACAGTATATACGCAGTATATACAGATAGGAAACCCTATGTAACACGATTTACGATTAATGCTAGTAATTGCAGTATTCTATTTGAATAAATTGGGACGAAGGAATAATTCTCGTCGATTAAGTCTAAAAATGTTTTACTTTTCGTAGCGCCATATTCAGAGAACTGTACATTGTTAATTAAACCTAAAAATATACTATCAATGAATTTTAATTAAATCAAACTATACAATTTATTTGACGATAATACGAACTTGATTTTTTTGCACAAACCATTACAGGGCTTTTTCTAAAGTTGTTTAAATTTAGATTTATTTAGTCAAAAACAACAACAAAAAACAGTAAAAACTGTATGTGACGTATGGGGGAGATGATCTGCACACGTTTTCTTGAGTTCCAGAATCCCTTCCCTCATTTTAACTAAAAAAAGTTGAAAGACTAGTAAAAGTTTAAAACAAATAAAAAAAATTCAAAATCGCAAGATTAGCAATATTTGAAAAAATAAACATTTTCGTTTCAGAGTTATAGAAAACTGATTTGCATCGGTAAACGAATTCCAAGTAAGATTTTTCCCCATCGCTATCAAAATAGTAACTCGCCCTTACCTCTACTCTTACCATTAGAAACAAAAGGAGAGTTCAACAAAACGTGCGCATAGTGAAGTTACATTTATGTTCAAAAGCAGAACAAGGGGCCATCTCAGCAATTGCTCAATGGATCAGGGAAACTGGACAAAACTGATCGAGATGTTGATTATTTTGATCTGGTCGAGATGTTGACCTGATCGAGGTTATTTTCGTTGATCGCTCAGAATTTTAGAAAATTGCGTTTCGGAAATATTGGATTGAGATTTCTAATCTTCAGTCCGAATTCGAAAGTCAAACCGTTTCAATGATGTAGGGATACGGCACATGGTGAGTTAAAGGTTGAAAATACTTTTGCAGGTTCCTATCGAAGTATAATATAGCGAAGCAGTTAGAAATAATGTCAGAACGTATGTGGTTTTTTGTTTCATCGCTTGTTTATGGTACGTTGAAGAAAATGCTTCGTTGTAATATGGGAGAAGGGGTTAGGGGTGAAGTCTAGGTTTTCGTAGACTCGAATATATTCATCAGGGAAGTGGTTCGAAATACGATTACATTGATGGAAAGTGCACTGTAATGGGTCCTGATGAAAATAATATAAAGAATTTATTACAAAGCAGTTTGTGAAAGTGTCTCTAACATTAAAGTGATGTTTTTAAGGTTTGGGGTTAAGGTTTTGTCACTCAAAGATCGATTGTGGAATTGCATATTAATTAGACGTGCTACTTAACTGCTTGTATACAGGTGTCTTCCATGCAGATTTTGGGAGATTATCACAGATTGTATTTTTATGCTCCTGTCATCCTATTTCTTTTGATCTGATCAGTAGTAAAATATGATTCAAAATACAATATTACTTATATTTTTTCCTTTCATATTTTTATAGGATAAAGTAGACACTGCGTTGTCTGAAGATGAAGAAGGGGGTGATACATCTCATATTGGAGAAATTTCAGATGGCATTAGTGTTATGGCAGATGGAATGGCTCCAATACCAGGTGGGCCGTTTTCAGCTTTAACTCCTTCCATGTGGCCTCAGGACATATTACTCAAGCTTGTACAGCAACCAGAAGACCCGAATTCGCAACCCGATTATAGGTAAGATACAATTTTGTATATACACACACAATGTTTTCACGGTATTGTTTCAAATTATAGAGGTAATGCTGTATTATGCTGTCAAGTATAACTACCAATTACTAAAGTTGAAAATTAATATGAGAATCAGTCAAATATTTACCTTTTCTGCAGTTGGAGCATTGGGTATGCAAATAGACTTAGGAACAATCTTAAACAATTTAATTATCACTCTGAATTCTACCAGGACATTTAAACGATCTGGTGCTATTTATTTCAGACGAATTTGGTTTTATAATTTGAATGACGGCCTACAGTTGTTTTCACATTATGTAGGTGCATAGGTCCAAGAAAAGATAAAACAATGTCATAAGTATAATTAACAAAATAAAGAGTAAATAAATCAATCTACATTTGAACAAAAAGCCTTGTGCAAATTCGAATGAAAGGACCCCATGTTGATAATTTTATTTTTCCACAGATTTGACGAGTTTGGTTTTCGAGTGGAGGAGGAAGATGGCCCTGAACAAAACTCTAATAAACTCTTAGGCATTCCATTTGTAGAAGACCCACAACACAGGTACTGGATTAAAAGTGGAAGAATTACTATTATGTTATTTTTTGTGCGAAGGCTCCTTCGCGTTCTTTGTCAGAACAGGGCATTCTTAGTTTACTTTTTCTTGTAAGGAAAATTTATTTCACTCGTACTGTTTACGCACGCACGTGGTCTGCAACCACCTGCGCCGCCCCCTCCCCTCTCCGCTCGGCCGCCGGGACAGCGAAGGCGCAAATCCGTCTCTTTGTCACCGCACCGCCGGCTTTGCCACCCTCTTAGGCACGACGCCGCGTCCTTGTCGGCATGTGCGGTTTATGACACCCATTTGCGCCTTCCGCGAATTGCGACCACCCCCAGCCAGCGGCTCGGCCTAAGTGCACCGCGCGGCCCGCTGGTGGTCTCTGAGGTTTCGGCAGCCTTTTTCCCACGGCGGCCCGGAGCACCCCCCCTCCGCCACGCCTCGTGGTAGCCACCCCCGCTCCAGGGAGGGGCGGGGTTCTATATATTCGTGCGCACAACCGCGCCCAGGCAGAGACACGCAGAGATTCGCAGAAACATTCATAGACATTCATTGTAGAGATAGTTAAATATGTGAGGACGAGGCACGTGAGCACGCGTCTTGTCACGTCTGCTCCGCTCCTGACACATGTCACATCATTCTGGGCCTCAGTCTGCCCGCATAGCCGATGGTCGACACCAGGGCTGCCCATCTCGGCATTCATTCAGGGTTGAGGCTGTCCACCCCACATAAACTGGACCACGACAGCGCGCATTGCCTGGTCATCGCGTCCGGGGGCTTGCAGCATTCGCTCAGAGGCGCACTGTACGTGTTCAGCGACCTCCGCGCAGCGAGACATGGGACGAGCTCAGCGCCTTCAAATAGCAGGTACCTGTTTCTGCCTCTTAGCCGAGCCAAGCTTCTCAGGTTCATACCATGCAATAGAACATTAATCGACATTAATTGGATTGAACTGTTTCTCATCATCATCATCAAGGATCAGTTATTGTATTAAGTAATTTTGTGTCAATTAATATAATTTATCGTTGTAAATTATTGATTAAGTTTTAGATTTAGTTTTCTGCAATACTTTTTGTAGTAATTCACCGCTCGGGCCCGGCACGCATTTTGTATATAGTAGTTTTACAATTGTTTTGTTTTCATGTAAGTTTACATTTTATTAATCCAAGAGGCACTATAGAATTAAATTAATATTTAAGCTATTCGCTTTTCTATTCATTTCGGCCGATCCCTCATTTCCTCGTACGAGGTGGTCCTCCAGCCCTTTTATTTAGTAGCCCCCTGGCTACATCGCCTGAGCTACCGGAGGCCGATATGTGTGTGTGCTGTGCCCGTCTATAGCCAACGGTACGGTCCACGCTGTTGGCTCATCATTGTGCGTGGCGCCGTGTGAGAGGTGGGTACCAGGTGAGTACCGCGTCTGCACGCGCTCGCACGACACGGACGCGCGGTGCGCAAATACGTACTCTATGTAGCAATGATATCCAAGAATTCCATCAGTATGAACCTATCAGGGAATTTTTCTCGTGCAATGTTTTATTCTTGTTATATGCTCACAAAGTGCCTTTGTTTTTGGTTTGGGATTTAACATTTGAGAGACTTGAAGTGTATCTCGGTTGCCTGTCCGGTCTCTCTGTCCAATGTATCTGTCGCGTCTGTCTTTCTGTGTGGTTCATACAATCTCCCTTATATAAACGTAATATAAATGTAATCTAATTCATTATATATAACTGTTTTGTTAAAATAAACATTGTTGTTTTTGATGATCAGTTTAGTCTCTAATTGTACAGAAACAGTTATGCAGCAGAAAAGATTTTATTTTTAACATTTTGTGTACCGACCTTCATTGTTTAATGTAATCTGGCCATGTGTTTTTAGTGACGTGTGATACAGACATCACATTGATCACGTCCATCAGGACGTGATTTCTACGACGTGTGTAATTATAAATTGTAATTACACACGTATATATTTATAGATATCAGTATTGCATTAAAATATGTTCCCACCGATAAGTCAGTTCTGACAAATATTACTGATTCGTAAACAAATAGGCAAGGCAATGGCAAATTTCAAGCTCAGTTAAGAGAGGCTTGCTGGGATCACCCGGATGGCATTTTTTCATTATTCGAAAACTTTTCTTTTGCAATCGGAAGGTCTTGGTACTACATGATGAGCTTCCCCGGACTGTTATGCCATATCTCAGACGGGAATGTATATTTGCAAAATACACGCAACGAGCTGTTTGAAGGCTGACAGAATTTGAAAGAAATTCTGAATGCGTAGCATAATGAACATAATAATAATAATAATAATAATAATAATAATAATAATAATAATAATAGCGACGTAGTAACACAAACAGCTACCCTAAAGACTTTCTCGAGAAAAAGAAAGAATAACAAGTACTACACTTTTCAACCGATACAGATGCGCCATATAACGCTCTTTTCACATGGAGAGAACTTCAAGACGCCATAAATGCCGCTGGAGACACCGAAGCAGGATCAGACAATATCCCTTACAGCATACTAAGTCGGTTTAGCGAAGGAAATACTGTCCACCTGGTATACATTATAACATTTGGGCGCAAAGTAATTACCCCCAAGTCTGGAAAGAAGCGGTAATAATTCCACCGTTAAAGGCTGGCAAGGATCCATTGAAACATGAACATATTTGCCTGGTATCGTTGACGTGTTGTCTAGGAAAAATCTTGGGGAAAAAATGGTCAACACCCGGCTAACATGGTGTTTCGAAAGAAACAACCTCCTGAACATGCATCAGTGCGGATACAGAGAACATCCGTCTACAATCGACCAACTAATATATCTGGAAGATGCAATTCAGAATACCTTCCAAAAGAAAACATACGGTTACCGTAAATCTACCAAAACTCATATTCAGCTTCCTTAGTACCAGATCTTCCCAAGTTCGCGTTGGGCAGTCCATCTCAGAAAGCTACGTACTAGAGAATGGTGTACCGCAAGGCCCTCCATTGAGTGGTACGCTCTTTATCATAGCGATCAACGATATGTTTTGACGGCATAAAAGCATCATTTGGAAAATGCATGTATGTAGATGACATTGATATATTTTATTCAGCCAAATCACCGGCAGTGATCAAATTCAAAAGCAAAAGTCATAATTCATTAGTAAAGAACGCGAAAAACATTGGTTTCTCATTTACAGTAGCCAAAACGAAATGCGTTCACTTCTGTAGGAAGCGAAAAAGCTTCAGAGTTCCAGATCTGGCGTTAAGTGATGTTCAACTGACGTGCAATGAAACGGCAAAATTTTCTTGGTGTGAAAGATAGACATTTGTTACATTTGTTCGATAGACTTTTAACTTAACATCTAGAATATACCATGTGTAGATGCAGAACAGCTCTGAACGTAATCAGATGCATTTCCCATATAAACTTGGGAGCAGATAGAGACATCTTACTCCACAATTACAAATCCATTGTGATGTTCAAAATAGATTATGGAAGTGCAGGGTACTCCTCAGCCAGAAAGTCATGTTTAAGAAAATTAGATCCCGTTCATAATACAAGCCCCGTTTTGCTTGAGGAGCGTTCCGCACTAGTCCTTCCTTAAGTCTATACTGTGGAACCAGTACCATGTCGCTACATCACAGACGACAAACAATACAACTCAACAATAGATAAAAAATGCTGCTTCGAAGTGCATCATCACATCATGGCAGATCACTTGGAACCGCCTTCACACGAAGCTAACCCCGATTAAACAGAACATCAGTAAATGGTCACCAAATGTCAGCTTCCCTCAACGAGAACAAGTGTGCATAACCAGACTAAGTATAGGCCATGCGAGAATTACTTCATACATGCTAAGAAATGAAGAACAACCCATCTGAAGCTACTGAAGACTTTTGACAGTGGAACATATTCTGACAGATTGTATAGATCTCTCAGGACTTAGTGACAGATGCAGCATGAGAGGTAACATAAAGGTACATCTCGGAACCGACAAGACGGCAACTGACGAAACAAAGTTCCTGAAATAGGCCAATCTTTTCTACAAAATTTAACTAGTAAATGTTTAGTTTTAACATCAATCCGTAAAAAGGCTAAAAGCCTCAGTTGCCAAGCCTTCAAAGAATAAATAATAATAATAATAATAATATTAGTAATAATAATAATAATAATAATAATATAATAATAATTTTTAATGGCGAGGCTCAGGCGTAGGACCTGCTCTTCCGTCTAACCATTGAATTTACATTCATTAAGAGTAGTAACATTCTAAAAGGGAAGGACCAGCTGTACATTTACGTCTGGGTGTACAAAACTAGAGACCATCCCGGCGTACGCCTTAAGCGATTGAGTAAACCCAGAGAAACCTCAATCAGGACGTCGGCTTAGAGCCGAACTTTAATAGAACTGAGTATGTTATGCATAGTGGTAAAAGGGAAGAGAAAAGACGTACAGGAGAAGGGTACATAAAGAAAAATTACATTAAAAAGAACATGAGCACTTTTACCTAAATATAAAATAATTTTAACACCAGAGAAGCACAATACACTACAAGCTAATAATACCAGTAATTTTAAACACCGTATTGGCAGTATTATGGAACAATATAAAGAGTGCTAGGTTCTTAACATCTATTTTGTTTATGCCAGTATATTGTTAGAAAGATGGTGATGACGGGACAAATATATCTACTAGTATATTTTATCTGGAATGTCACTAATAATTTTTTGTATATTTTATTAAACAATTTCATTAGGGTGCACAGAAAATTAATGCTAGTAATTTAGGTTTGAGAGGAAATGGAAAATGAGGATAGAGCAATGAGGTATGGGCTAGAATTTTGAAAATAGAGAGGGGAGAAATACGGTGCTTACGGGGGCGGTGACAGGGTGCAAGGAAGTGGGAGAAGTGTGGAGATTGAAGAAGACATTAACGCAATTCTATGTCGTTTTTCCTTACCCATGTGGTTAATTCATTTTTGAATTTACGGAAAGTATTTGAATGTTTTAGACTCGTTGGTAATTTATTCCAAGCTCGGATAGCTGTAATGGTGAATGATTTACTGAATGAAGTCGTGTTGTGACGGGGTACACAAAGCAGAGCGGGATCACGAGCTCGATTTAGTTTCAGAGAATTGAAGTTATTTATGAGGCGTGTTGCATGAGAACCATTTAAAATGTTATAAAGAAGACGTAGAGAGTGGAGTAACCGTCTTTTGTCAAGAATAAGCATACAAGTTCTGTCAAAAATATCCGATCATGGTCGTATTTTCCCAAATTAAAACGTACGCATCCGTTTTGGGCTACTTGAAGTTTACATTGTAATTTAAATTTTCCATTTGAGATTTTACTGAATTGAGACACCTAGAAATTTCGTTACCTTAATATCAGCTAATTGCATATTGTTCATATTCAACTACATTACTACACAACTACTCAATTTTCATGCTACAACTGGCACGTGTGCCAGCTGCCGCAGGTAGAAGTGAAGAGCAAGTGAATGTTTTTTACTAGATGTTAATTATTGACGGTCATGTATTCTGGAGTAAAACATTTGGTGAAATGATTGTCATTTATATAATGAGGCCTCGAATTTGTAATAAACTGGAATTCGATTCTCTATTAGAAATCATATCTGGATAGTAACAGATATGGTTTTAAAATGAATTTGGCAGTATTATTGTTCTTTAGAAGAATCTGCCCTGTAATTGATAATAAACGATTTATATAACTTAGTTTAATAAGATTGTTCGGACTACTGCGCTTGATTCTGGGTGTTTTGAAGTGGACTGTATTGATTAGGTGAAGGCGGGGCACAGCAGTCCCAAAACCCTTTGATAGCTTAGGGAGGATTTATATAGACGTCCTGGAATGATAGAAAAGACGTTCTTGCACAACTACATTTAATAATCACTGCACTTAGGCACTTGATTACATAGCAGATACATCACAGTACATGATAGCTGGAGCAGAGTACTAGTTAATTTCCTGGCGTGAGTGTTCTAGTGCAAATAACTCACATTAAACAGACAACACCGGTGGAATTCGTTGTAGTGCACGAATTGGGAGAAGCCCTACTTCGTTCAAAGTAAATGATACTTTACACGTGTTAACCGGGAACATCCCGAGATTGCATAATAAACTGTTTGTTCAAGTGGTCTGATGCAAGTAACCTACACTACACAGACCTACTACTTACACTACATTTGAAAGTTGCAAGTACTAACTAGGGGCGGTTTGAGGTTGGACAGTAAAACCTTACGTATTGTAACTATTGCATCACGTACATTACGTATTGCATCACTTGCCGGAATTCGCTGCGTGGATTGCATCTGCCGGCGCCCCCCCCTCCCCCCGATCTGGACGGTTCCGAGTCGCGTAGAGGTATGGCGCACGTTCCCGATGGCCCGTGGCGAGCGCCGGTCAAGTATAAATTCGCCGGCGGCCGCTAGTCAGTAAGCAGTCAAGTAGTAGAAGTAGTAAGCAGCCAGTCCGTCAGTGTGTCTGAAGTTGAAGTTGCGCTGTAAATTGTGTATTGCGATGAACAGCGGTGGAGTGGGTGAACAGAAGTCAGCAGTCTGAAGTCTGCTGTGGACGCTGAGCTGTGAAGTGTGCATCGCGGTAAACAGTGGTGCAGTGGGGAAACAGCAGTCAGCAGTTTGAAGTCGTAGTGGAAGCTGAGCTGTGAAGTGTGCATCGCGGTAAACAGCGGTGCAGTGGATTGTGGTCTGCGCAGTGAATTGTGGTCTGCGCAGTGAATTGTGGTCTGCGCAGTGAATTGTGGTCTGAGCAGGGAATTGTGGTCTGAGCAGGGAATTGTGGTCTGCGCAATAGTGCGCGGACAGAGCATAGGACTGTGCGGTATTGTAGAAGCAGTGAACAGTGTAAATAAATAATCAGAAGTAGTGAACTGTTTAAATAAATAATCAAGAGAATGGAGTCGTGTGTAAGAAAAATAAATGAAGAACACAAGGACTGTGTAATATATCTGTAAATAAATCAAGTATTTCTAGTGTAGCATTGTCAGCGAATAAACATCGTTGTTTAAAATATTACCTGTGTGTGTGGTTTTATTCACTACGGAGACACGTTACTGTACATTAATTACACACGGAGCCCGCCACACGGACCGCACGTGTGACTTCGCGCGCTGCTTGTGCGGAACTGAATTGGCAGTTTAACGACGGGAGTATCGTAGATCGCCAGTTTTCGTTCGCTCAGGGGGAGGGGATGGCAGTAGTCAAATATTATATTGTAGAGTATTCATTTTCTTTATTTTCGACTTATAGTTGAGATTGTACTAGACATGTATTTTCATTTTCTTTGTATGATAATACAGGCCGCTAAGTGGATACTGGTATATTAATTCCAATTATTTTTAATGTAACAATATTTGTGGAGTTTGTGCATGTCAACAATTTCGTTCATGTAGTTTCGTAATTAACTATCAGTGCACGCTCATATCGTGAAGTTATTATTATGATATATGCTTAAAGAATTGCCTGCCACAGCCATGAATCTAATGCTCGATTGCGTAAAGAGTTAAGTTGCCCTGTGACGGTTGTTTTGTACATCTCACTGTCTGTTCAGTTATTTGAATAATCAAAATATCATTTATAACATTTACTTCATACTAAGTAGCTAACTGGTCGCATCGGTGATTAATTGCGAAATGGGAAGCAAATTCCCAGGGAATTGTTAAAACTTGCAGCGGTAACTAAATGGTGAAATGTATAGTATAACCGTCGTAGGGCCTTGTTATTAAAAAATAATGTTCTAAGAGTTAACCGTGTTGGTTGCGCTAGTGATTAGAGCAATTTAGTGATCATCGGGAGATCCGAATTCTAGTCCTGGCTGGGGCAGTCAATATTTCGAATGGTCAAAATGTGTAATAATAATAATAATAATAATAATAATAATAATAATAAATTTTCGTATTTTAAATAATTTTCCATTCTATTTTTCCTTTTTTTAAATTTATTTCAGATTGCAGTGGGTTGCCCATTTAGAATTCAGTCACAGTAAAGAAGCATCTGATTTGACATGGGATAAAGTTGATGTGCGCCTTCCACGAACTGAGAAGTTGCGGTCGATGGTATTTGCAGGTATTCCCCATTCTCTACGACCACAGATGTGGATGCGATTATCAGGTAATTAGAAATAAATTTTCCTTTATTTACAGAGCAACAAAAACATAAAAGTGATATTTATCGACATGTCCTCGACCCCGTGTTACGTTCGAAGAGTTTCTGCACGTTTTTTTAACTCAACGACCCCCATTTTCGTGAACCTAAGATGATCCCCACGGCGGCGGCGATGGTGTAACGGTTAGCGTACTGGACTGTTGTACCCAAGTTGGCGGGTTCAAACCCGATCGAAGCCGTGGATTTTTAAGGGCGAAAAAATCCTTCATACGCTTTCGCATACGCATACGCCGGAAGTAAAGCCGGCTGTAGCGAAATTTGCGTGGTTAGACGGAAGAGCAGGCCTAATGGCCTGAGTCTCGCCACGTAAAATAAGGTATAATTCAATTCAATCCAATCCAATCCCCACCACACCCCGTATTGACAGTTGTGTGGACAATGTGATCCTTCACTGTTGATGACGCATAGTATCATTTCCTGGGGTTTACAGTAAATTTATCTCGGCTGTACTATTTTGAACTGGACTAGATTTTTAATAGTTCTGTGATTGTATTCATCACAGGAATACGATGTTATACTAACAGTTTGTGTATTTAAATGCCTCGCAGTAGACACTAAAGCGTCCGTGCTCTTCTGATCTAAAATGGGGAAGTATTCACAAAGAACAATTCCATCTAATGCTGAAGTTCAACAGAGGAAAACAGACAACGAATGTATGAAGAATGTGTTTTTTACGAGGGTCGGGGAAATTATTCCAAAGGCACTGCGCAGCTTGTGTTATTCGTAGCTAGCCTGTGCCTTACCTACTAAGAATCCCTCCAATTTCTACGATTCCCTTCCCGCGGAACCGCCGTCAGGCATTGCATGACGGGAGGGACAGATCGGCGTATCGCTCTATGCCAATTGATGCCATGGGATACTCCCTCCAAACAAAGCTTCAGAACTTTTGCGGTAAAGGTGGCTACCGCAATCATAATTCGTGCAAAGGCGGAGGCGCTCTCTCGCAGACTATAAGCGTGCTCGTCGAAGTGCAGTCTCGCGTCAATCTTCTATATATGTTAGAGACTGATGGGAGGTTATTTTACTACCCACTGGGAGTAATACTCTTTCTCACTTTCAAGGAAGCCTCTGTCTCATGCTCGACCATTTGGAGCCCCACCGACGTTAGTCACCTCCGGATCGCAGACACAGCCTTATTGGCAAATTGCGTGACCTCTTCATTCTATTTGCCGATCACCATCACAACATCGTCAGCAAATCCAATAACCTAGCACCTTCCGGCAGCTGGAACTTCAAAACGGAGTCATACATAATATTTCGAAACAGCGGGCAAAGTATCGAACATTGCGGAACACCACCCGAGATACCATAGGTCTTTAATCTGTTTCGTTTGGTAAAGTCCTTTCGTCAAAGAAGCTTCTATGTTCATTATGTAATTCATAACTCCACTTCCATATGGAACTCCACCTTGCCGTATTAACAACGTTCTGGACGTCGGGGGATTACAAAAGCGCAATACTTCTTCGCACCTAGTTTCGCCACTTCTTCTCTATCGTTTGCCTTTAATAGCCTTACGTGCGATGTCGATGACGACACTAATTACGTATACTGTGGATCTCGCCTTTCTGAAGCCACACTGATTATCTGACTACCTGTGGCTCCTCCGTGTGGGCTTCAATCCATTTGTTGATCCGTTCTACCACCTTGCCTGTTGTATCCAGAAGACATACAGGCCAATATGCTATGGGTTCCTAGGTGGCTTATCGCCCTGTTGCAATGATGGGCGATATTCCCCTCTCGCACGCATATGCCTCTAACAAGGGAATGCCGCGGTCATGTCGACATGTATGACATGTCGACATATGCCCTAATATTTTTTCATTGAATTTACATGCCCTTCTGATACCAATTAATTAAAAATCTAAATTTGCCAACATTTTCGTACAATTTTGTATTTTTACAGAGAACTTGGATAACCCTCGCAAGCCGAGCGCGCGGGCGACGAGGTTGGCGTTGTAGAGGATTCTTTCCTCAAGGTCAAATGACATTCGGTGGGAATAGGCCATTCCCAGTACACTCAATGCTTTTCTTATTGTTAAAGTCCATTTTATTTGAGATATTTTATTTCCTTACCAATGAACGTTTGTTTTTTCATTATTAATAACGTCAGTATGCATTATTATTAAATATTGAAAACATATCATATAACTAGTATATAACTTTGTTTAAATTATGTAAAGGGATTTAAGAGTTGTTTTGTGAATTAAATTCACATCTTATAGCCTCATTTTGGTTTTTTGTTCGTGAAAATTACCGATCTGTAATTTGTGCCTTTTTATGTTGATAAATCAGTTTTCTCAGTCAAAAATTACGAAAGCCAGCTTTACCGCACTTTTCCAGTTTGTACTGACCTTTCGCGTTTGATTACACAACTGACCTGTTTCTCAGTAGACGCAGACAAGAGCTCTCAAATTCGCGAGGAAAGAGCTCCAGGGGAGGTAACACATGTTGGATCGAAGATGAGCGGTTGCGGCACGGTTTATCACGACGAAATGTATTTCTTACAAAAATGAATAACAGAATAAATGAAATCTAAAATTCGGAATTACTTGTATTAGTAGTTTAGATAATGTATAGTTAATATTAGTGTTATTAGTTTTATTATTTTAGCTGCTAGGAGGGACAGCTGCCTCCCCGCCTGCCCCTTGCAGGAAACGACCTTGGAAGCAGAGTCTGCCGCTTGCGGCGAGCAATGGAGTTGAATCACAAGCGAGCGTGCTGGGTAACAACTGCTTTGCAAGGTTGGCCATTTTTACATCGATGGGGTAGGGCCAATTTGCAAATTCATGATGTTTTTCGATTGACTTGCAATGTGTATCGGCACCCTAAAGTTTGATCGTGAGATTAATATGGCATGTGTTTCTGGTTTCGACATGTCACATCGCGGCATTCTTTTGTAAGAATAGGTCTGGCCGAGTTCTAATAGTGGTCTCAATAACACCATTAGGCACTCCATCCAAGACGGCTTTGCAATATTGAACATTATTGCAAGCTCTTGACAGTTATTCTAACCGCCAGAACCTCAAGTATATCTTCATGCGGATCCATAGTCTGCAAGAAGACCGGCAAGCTGGGGGTGGCTTGAGCCTGGCCGTTACGACCTTATATGGACGACCCCAGGGGTCAGCATCTACCTCGTTGCTTAGCTCCCTCCAACAGCGATCCTTGCTAATCTTAATGGCATTTGTGAAAGCTCTTCTGACGGCCACGCGCCTCTGCTTGAGTGTATCAGAATTTGGGCGACCCCTCCCGCGTTGCGCCAACCTACGTGTGCGATGGCATTCTCTGCGAAGTTCCGCGATCTCGTCAGGCCACAAATACGCTTTCCTGAGAATTTTCGTCACTGACGCATCACAAGTGTTAAAGACCTGACTCATTACAGTTCCCACTATATCCTCAGTTTCCGGCCAGCATAACGCTGTCCTTCATCATGGCAGCGATCGAACGTCCTGTGGTTCCAAGTTGCTCTCCTAATACCTTCCAGAACTCAACATATATTTCTCTTTGACTTCATATACAATAGCTTGGTGGTCGCTGTGTGTATAATGATCGCTAACCTTCTACCCTGTAATCCAATTAGCAAGGCTATCACACGTGAAAGTCAAGTCGACGATGGAGCTGCGACCATTCATGGCAAACGTCGGGCTGTGATCCATGTTGCGGGGGTAACCAGGCCTGGTTGCGTCTAACTAGGCAAGGCTGTCCAGTAGAGCCATCCAACGTTGGTTCGTTACTCTTCTGCCCCATTCAGTCGCCCATGCATTTAAGTTCCCAGAAATAATAAGAGGCTTTCGTTCTCTCGCATCATCCAATCTATCGAGGAATGCCTTGAAATTCTCAAGCGACTCTCTGGGTGCAGCATAAAAACTAAAAATGTGTACTGAACCCCTTTATGCAGGTGAATCCAACCCTTGGAACTTGCATAACTTGCTTGACTGGACTTTTACCACAAATCCACACCGCAGCTCAGTCGCACTCCAACCCATTGAAGACTGGTTATATTCCTGTACTGCTCGTCTAGCTGAGAATGTCTTGCGCCGCCTCGCTATGATTATGGTTGAGCTTAAGGACCCTCATCGTTATTCCTTCTCCGTTCCGCCTTCACTAAAGCGTCCCTAATTTTGGTATTAGGAGCACTTATATCCACCAGTTGCATGTGTCTGTCTTTTCCTTGATACAGGCAACTAGGAGATTAAGCAGGTCTCAACAAAAAGCCCTCCTTCATCGCATTTATGGCAATTTATGGACCTATCAAGCCCTTCACAGTTTCGCGCCAGTCCCCAAAAGCTCATCACCTGTAAGACCTTGTAACAATTTTCTCCGAAATGCGACACAACGCAGCCAATCTAAATTTTGTTCATTCGAACCGTTTTCCTGGCTAGATCTGCTAGTAGTGCCATCACAGCCCTTTAGGTGCTACCGTGGACTTAACTATTACTTTCCTGTCCTTGCTCCCTCCAACTATCTCTCAAAGGTCTCAAGAATTCCTTTGCATGTCGTGACTTCGTCCAAATCTTTAAACTCCAGGAGTTCCTCATTTGAGAGTCTTTACCTCCGTGCCGTCTTTACCTGGCTTTGAACAGCCCGCTACTCCCATCTCCAAAAGCAGGTCTTCCGTGCCTCTTTTTCTTATTTTAACTACATTGAGACCCAGTTCTTCAAGGTATTCCTTCAAGTGTCGCAAAATCTCCGCTTACGTCGCCCCCCTTTTTGGCGCTCACTAACAAGGCATCCCGACGCTTGGGAATGGAGTGCAATGATTTCTTCCTCCTCGCCTCAACTCTCTTCCATTCGCTCAGGTGGGACTTCTGAAAAGTGAACGACGCCTCCACCAAACCATTCTCGACTTCATTCCTTTCTCCTTGGACATTTTGGGATTATTTTTCTTGTAATACACATCTCATTGACTGAACAGACTTCTGTCTACATCTATATATATGTGTCGT